ATTAAGAAGAATGAATGCCTTTTAACCACTACCATCCCCTTGGCACTCCAGGTACTGGTTTAGCTTTTCTGGTGCAACGGGAAAAGGACCCTGTGAATCAGGGCCTGCGTAGTACTGGAAATGCTGTCAGTTTTTGCAAAATACTCCAAAAGCATAGAGTGGCTCAAGGTGTCTTTCATGGCCTTGGACTATTTTTCCTTTCCCCCCAAAACAGGAAGGAATGAGCAGGACTATTTTCCTCTGCCCTTCCCTCTACCAGGGCTGCAGATCACTCAGCTTGGCCTATGCTTGCTGATGCAAAAGCAGCAGTGCCTCAGCTCATGGTTCACATGCAGCCTGTTCCTCATAAGGCCCTTTGATAGTGCATGTGGTCATGGGGCCATGAACTCATATTAAATTAAAGCAGAATAACTTCTGGTGCTGCCTACAGCTCATTATTTTTTTCATGTTATTCCCTTTGAGACATTAAAGATTGATTTGCAAAATCACAGCACCAAAATGAATTGTTAGGGCTGCAGACGCATAAGATGAATCGTAAGCTGTCCTTCAAATAATGTGCTGTTAAGTGGAAGGTGAGTAGTTAAAAATAGAGTATTCCCAATAATTCCACAAAAAGAAATAAAACAGAATGAACCCCGAAATATAAAATATCTGGAAGGCATTGTTATAACCAATTTCTTTCTGTCTCTGAGGCACGCTTAACCTTTGCAGTTCTTTTCTACTGTCTGTTTTACTTCTAGTCACTCACTGAATGCTTAATCTTAAGTATGTGATAAGAACATGACATCTCTTGCTGTACAAAACCAACTCTTAGCGCAAGGTAGGTTCCTACCTATCAGCAAATACCTGCTGTAATGATATCTAATGAAATAGAAATATTTCACATGAGCAAATCAAGTAATGTCTGAAGAGAAGATAATGATTTTAAATGATCAATATAATTTCAAAACCATCATGTTACTGTTTGTCATCTTTTCAGTGTCATGATCTTGCTATATTATCCACTTTATCTTTCTTCTGGATTGCGCTATATTGAATAATAATTAGCTCTAATCAGAAGTTTGAGTAGCTACATAAGAGTGATAATGACCAGTTAATTAGATCAAGATCTCATAATAATACTGTGCAATTTCTACACCGGAGGTAGCGGATGACTGACCAGTTTGGAGCATGAATGAGGCAAACATCATCTAAGGAAAAATACCCATACTCATCACGTGGTTAATTTTTAGAGTCCTGAGTTGAGCAGGGGTTGGATGCAGTGATTCTTGTGGGTCCCTTCCAATTCTGAATATCCTGTGATTCTGTGATCTGGATATTTGATCTAGGTGTATCATAGTGCAAATGAACCACTGTTGTATAAAGCCTAGATTCTAATTTATTTTTTCAGTAGAGACGGAATATATTTTCCTCCTCTCTTATTTCATGTTTCTATGAGGGTTTGGTCTTGGTCCAGTGACTGGTTACATGTAGTAGCATTGATTGTTAACATTAGATAGTATTTCCTGATGAAGTCACATAATTTACTGTTTAATGAATGGTATGTAAAGAACTGAATTCCCTTCTCACTGCTATGTTAATAATTAATAATGAAACTTGAGTGAATGAAACAAACTGACATCCATGCAAAACTAGCCAGCTGCTGAAGGAAATTCCATGAGAGGAATCATACTAATGGTACAATTTATATAAGTCTTCCTTTTATTAATGTAACATATATTTCCTCCTGGATTGTGATGAAATGCACCATTCCACAAAGCAAAAATCATTTGTCCTTCAAAAGAAAAGAAAACCATTTTCAGAAAGGCCATTTATTCCAAAAAAGAGTCTTTCCATCACATTATAGAAAATCAAACATAGAGTTTCCACTCTTCGATAGAGTTTCTCTCTTTCAGTGTCATAGAGAAGTAGGATAAAATGGTGAGAGATGCTGCTCTCCTCCAAATTTCCCCATAAGAATATATGAGCTCATCATGGAAAACCAGACTGTCATCAAAAAACGTTTTCACAATCTCTGTGTTTTGATATTTAAAAAGTCCACTCTGATGGACTGCAACAAAATATCCTGTCAATGGAAGTTCCACAGATGTGTCTGTGCTCCACAGATCCCATCTAGGATTTGTGACATAAAGTTTGGATACCACATTACTCCATTTGTCCTGTAGCAATAACTGAGCAAAGGCAGTCATGTGGGCTGGAGTCATACATGTGGGCAGAACATATACTCTGAACATATGTACTTCTTTACCCTCATCACTAACTATCCATGCTTCAGAATGTAGCAGGCATTTAAAGACTGTCACCAGGCTGTAGTAATGCAGCAGTCAAAAAAGAAAAACCATAGTTGATGTAAGCAAATGGGCAAGTTAATATGGGTTGAGAAGGAACTAGGAACATGTACGTGAAGTTATTTGTGCACATATTTATCTGCTCAGTGACTGACTCTCAAGTTATCCCAGTCAGTGCTGGCCTGCATCAAACTTGAGTGCTATCATAAAAGGAAGTTTTGGAGATGGTATTAGATGGAAAGAAATTGTTGCCTAAACTTGACAGAGCCTGGAGTCATTCTCATTTATGATAGCTGCCCTGAGCACATCATGGAAGCTGCATTTAGAACAGGATGAGACTGCGGGGGAAACAGGCTTCACTTTTCACCTCTCAGGCCTGGCTCCTGAATGCTAATGCACAAAAAGCACACTCCATGTTCATCCTGTTGTCTTGGTCTCCTGAATGTCTGCTGTGGGAGAGGCTTCAGAGCACAGTGAGGCTTCCTCTCTGCCCTTGTTACAGGGTTTCCTCTGGAAGGATCAGCAGATGAATGGGAATGTGGGGCACAGTCCACTCTTATTCTGACAGGTACCTCAAGAATAGTCATTGTACAATTTTGTCTCCTGTAACAGTTTGAATACCCTTCACTTGTTTTTGCCCAACTGCTTCTGCCACATCTTTTTCAACTTGATTCCTCAGACTGCCATTTTCTCCTTCTGAACAGCTGAAACAAGTGTCTGCATGGATCCCCTTTGCCAAAATGGCGTCAGTAACAACAGCTGTTAAGAGCGAGAATATAAACAGCATATGGGAATGGAGAACCCAAAGCTGGATGAAAATACAGTTGTCCTAGATGGCCGTTTAAGAGAGGAAGACAAGAATCAGCTAGATTAATAACCAGGTAATTACAGAGAGACTTTGAAAGGAAGAAATCAGCTCAAAAAGAAATGTGAAGTAATTAAAAATCTGAGATATTGGCAACAGAGATCATGGAATGAAAGCAGAAGATCAACTGACCTGGCTCAGTGCTGCCCCAAGTAACTGCACTGGGATCATAACCTCTGCCAAGGCCTGACAAAGCATCCTCTCCTTCAGGGACCGTGAGCAGCCTACCTGCCAGCTAGTGGAGTGCTGGTATAAGAGATAACACACAGGGACAAACATTTTGGGAATGTTTTTGTGACATCATGAGTTGCTTCCTCACCAACATGTGTCTTAGCAGATTGTAGCAAGCAACACAGACACTAAGATCGAGAGAACCCAGGAGATAAGGATGCAAACATGTGCTCCCAAAGATGTTACATGTTTGTAACCCACTCTTCCTTCCAGTGTGTATGTGTGTGTGATCATGTGTACATGGAGGGGAGTGAGGAGATAGGGGCTAGAGCTTTTTGAGACAAGTTTTGGAAGGGTGGAAGTGTGTAGGATTAAACAACATCCTTGAAGTGTCTAGTACTCTGGCATATGTTGTAGTATCGATATGATCTTGAATACATGGTTCATTGGTTGCTGGCCAATTCTGCTCCAAGAATAAATCAATAAACAGCTGTGATGCACATTCAGGATGGTCTGTGTGAATGGAGCAAGCCTGGCTGAGAAAGTGGCGGTCGTATCCTGTCAGGAAAGAAAAGTTGAGGCTGAGATTTGTGTAACAGGTGAGAGGCATTGGGCTCAGCAGGGAAGTTGTGAGGCCCATCAGAGTGTACCACTGCAATGCTGTAGTTATGTGCTTTGTCAGATGACAGGGAGTTCATGTTCTTCTGCCAAAGGTGTATGTGATCCCTCGGAGTTTCTGTGAAGAGTATAACTAAGGAGAGGGAAGGATTCCACCAGCATCATTGTGTGAAGCTTCTGGCACAGTTAATATAAAGTCCTGTAACTACCCTCTCTGAATGAGAGCTTGCCACCGTCCACGCTATTTTGCTTTCCAGCTGTGTGACAATGAGCAGAAACTAAAGTATTCAAGTTGAATTTCAATCCATTGTTGTGTTTTTATAAGCAGTGTATTTCTTCTTGTCTATAACTTGTTAGTCATTTAGGTTTGGCACTGGTCTGGAAGAACAACTCGGTTTTGGTTGGTCTGACAAATAAAGTGAACTGTTTTGTTGTTGTTTTTTTATTTCACGAATAAAAAATAGAAACGTTTTCCTCATTTTCAAAGAAGCTGTTATGTGTAGGGCTTTTCTTGTGCTTAATGTGTATCTAAGAGGAATTATCCATTTACAAAGGAAAAAAAGGATTTTATTTAAAAATTGCCAACCTTAAAAATCGTGTCAATGGCAATTTCAGGTTTTTCTCTCTCAGCTACAACTATTCATTTATATTTTGGTTGACCTAAGTCTCTGCTTTTAGAATAAATACAATTCTGAAGCAGCGATTGACAATCGGTGTTCCCTACCTCTGGTGCTGACCGAAGTGGTAGCTGGAATTTTAATTCATGTGATGATCTCTTTAGTGTTTGCCAGGTAGTAAAAGATGTAGTTTATCTAACTTTCTCTTTCACTCTTCATAATATTTTTCCCATCAGACAGTTTTGGAAGTTTATTTAGTGTGTATTTACTCTTCCCCAGATGATGAGACGAGACAGAAAATCAAGTAGGAAAGGAAACGCCTCTGGCATGCCATAAAGGTCACTGTAACAATCTCATAATCTCATTTCCTCTTTAAAGTTTACCTGGGAGTCCCAAACTTTTTTTTCATGCCTTAGCTCTGCCACTATGTAAAAAAGGAACTCGAGCCCCATGTTGCAATCCTGTGGTATTGCGGTGAAACGGAGCATCCCTTTCAGAGTTTACAAGTGTTTATAAGGCGGCCGGCGCTCTGCTTCCTTCAGATCACAGCACCAACCTGCCCAGCAACTTCGGCACCCGGCAGCGCACGAAAAGGTACGAATTCCTTTCTTCTCTACCAGCAGGGCTGCACAAGTCTGGCGGCTGCTGACTGCACGGGAAACTACCGGCAGCTCTACAAAAGCAGTTCTTTGAGTGTCCTTACATACTTCTCACACTGTTTTTCTCATAGGGGTATTTGTATGTTTACGAGCCTGAAGTAAAAGGCACATTGTGTGCATGTGCATAGCTAGCAGAATTGTCACCTAACTAACAGAATAGCTAGCGTTATAATGATCTTTTGTAGGTTACCGTATTCACGTTACTGGGCTGTGTGCTTAGATAAATATATATTTATGATTAAACTGATGTTTTTTTAAAAAAGAAATGCATCACCCTTGAGCCGGCCCTGCCCTGAGCTGGGACCTGCAGAGTTGCTGTCTGACACGAACCTCCTGTGATGCTCCGTGAAGGAATCTATGCTGATTTGTGGCAGCTCACGCCCTGGATCTCACGGAGCACATGGAGCTGGCATGCCATTCTCACCTATGAAGTGCTCAGGCATCTGCACTGATTAATAATATCCAGAAACAGTCTGTTTATGATTAATTTTTCAGGACAATTGTGAGTTGGAAAGAGGTGGATAAATTCTCCGTGAAAGTTTTTAACTTTTTCATTGGAAACCCAAATTGTGAAGCTTCTTCCTAAAATTGGACAAAACTTTTTTATTTGAAAGCTCTAAATTTTGATGGTGATATTGAAAAGAAAGCTCTTTGTATTCCCTTCTCCTCTCTCCAAGCTTTTAATCAATACTTCAGGCATCAGCTTAATGAAGCACAGTGATGAATGCCATGTGGCTGTGAGAGAAGTGAGTATCTTTGAGAAAGAGACAAAACGTAGCTTTCATTCACAAATTACAGATTATCCTGTCCACAGTAGGAAATCAGGAGCTAGAAGTTTTTGCCGTCTAACAAAGCCATACTGCTATATTTTGAATTTAGGACAAAGTATTTTATATGAGATTCAGAGAATAAATGTTGTATTATGTATATGTATTAAGCATATCTACTATTATACTATAATACATATTGAATATGCATTTATATGGGGGGTATGTGAGGAGTCAGGAGCAGCCGCTGCCCCCCCCTTCCCCTCCTCTTTATCTAGTGAGGATGTATCAAGCTGTAGTCTATTATGTAGTATGAATTTCATCTATGTAATTTTATGTAGTGTGAGTTTTTATATAGGACTACTGACACATTTAAAAGCTTTGTAGGACTGGAATTTATGTTCATTGATCCTTTGCTTCATTGCCTTATTCTGTAAGAAACCTCATTAGCATCAGTAGAGGTTCTCTTGCTCAAGGAATATTTGACTCAGGGATCTGGGAACGCTTCTGAGCCTTTGACCAGATAAAGATCACATATTAGACCTAGTGCCAGGTCTAGTTCTTCATCTGGTTCACTTGACCAGATAAAGGTTAAGACCTATGCACACAGTTGCCTCCAAGTGCCATGGTTTCTTCTCTCATACTGGTTTGCGATATGAATAACTAGAAGATCAACATCTTGCCTCAAATTGCAGTGCATGCCTGCATGTAGTATAAGAATTATTAGAATGGGAGGATGTTTCTTAGTTCACTGGAGCTGAATCTGTCATCTTATCCAGCAGCTGAGCTCAATTTCAGTACACACTCAGCAATCCTAAATGAAGTAATGTATTTTTTACCTACAGATGTCTCACCTGCTATTTGCCTTACTTTCATTACTTTCCTTTGCTGCCCTTCTGGAAGCACAGTGGAAACTTAGAGAGAATGGTAAGAAATCTGTTTGTCAAAGTCTTGAGAATATACTTCTTTATGTTTGAACTCTAAGAAATTGACTTTGTCTGTCCTTCAAAAATCCATCAGTAGTTTGCTAAGCCTCCAAGCTTTCTGGAGTTGCACGTTTCAAGCATTTGACATGGATTTCTTGGTGTTTTTTCTCTGTGGTAAAGTCTTGAATCTGTCATTTTGCTAATGCAATGTCCTGGTGTAAATGTTTTATGGCTCACTGGATCTCTGGTTCCCTGTGGTGCTTGCTGTGGTGTCGGCACCATGAGAGACAAATTTTTGCCCCTTCTTGTATATAGAAAGTCTCGGACAGCCCTAAACATAACTGGGGAGCCTCTGACAGTGGTAGTATACCTGAGCAGCAGCAGTTGAATTTGAGAACTGTAGACACACAGAAGTGTAGGTGAAGTCAGCCAACCTGACTGCTACTTCACCTCCTACATGAAACCATAGCAAACAGACAAGATAATGTTCTTTTAATGGAATATTTCCAAAACATTTTGTTAGGTGGTGTGTCTGGTAATTTGGAAAGACCAGTAGGGCACTGCAGCGCTACAAGGTGGCATTTAGAAGACTGCGTGCCCCTGTTGTAGTCCACTTACGTCTGCTGTAACTCAGAGGTCTTCTGTCTCTCACTAATTGCTCCCTTTCCACCAGAGTGATAGGAGTACAGATTGATCCCTCCAGAAAATGGGAAACATTAGCTGCGGACAAATGCAAATCACTTACCTAGAGCTGCCCTCCTTCCCACTCAAAGACTCACTCAGAGACCTTTAACACTGAGGAGGTCCTGTCACAGAGCCAAACACCACAGCACTGAGGGCTGTACATGGCATTCTGTGAGCGAAAGCCTAGGGCCATGATTATCCAGATTCAGTGTGTCCTGGCATCCTCATCTTTAAAAGAAAGGTTCCTGCCTACTTCCCATAGTTAAAAACCACCGTAAGATTTTCTGGGAACAGAGGAAAAAAACATTTTATCCAATTAAAATGTCATCCCTGTTGGTCGGTGGGTTCTAGGTGCTTTGTAAGCTTAATATAAAGTCCTTGTAGTGAAGATGTCCAGATGACTGAAGAAAGAGATTTGGTAGCAGTCTTTCTAGAAAGCAGAGCTGGAAAAATGTCTCAGTTCAGCCTTCCTGCTGTTCATTCTGGTTGGTGCTAACATGTCTTTCTCTGCAATATCTGAAGTGTATGTCATAGAATCTGAGTGGAACGACGAGACACCAGCTAAAAAAGTGAAGCTCACCTGTAACACATCTGATGAAACGCTGCCAGTTTACTGGAAAAAGGGAACCGAACTGAAAGGAACTGGAAAGGCTCTGATCGTCGAAGTGAAGGAGTTCCCAGATGCTGGCAACTACACCTGTCTGTCAGCTAAGACACACGAGATTATCAGCTACAGTTTCTTCCTCATAACTAAAGTAGACTCCAATAGACAAATGATACGGTCGATTCTGAAAAGCTATAAAGGTACAGTCACAGCAAGATGTGACGTATTGTGGTCAGTTTTGTGCGTTGCACTTTTGTGAAGACTAGAGGGAGCTCTGCAGAAATGTTTGAGAAATGTACACCTGGACATCAGCCGTCTCCCAACACTCCAACAGTGAAAGAGAGATGATGACTGTGTGTGTGTGGTGCGACTGATGAGCAGAACAGGAATCTGTTGTGGGATTAATTTTGGGTCCTTTAGATTTGTAGGATGGAGTGATGATAGGAACAATTGGACTGGTACAGAAAACAAGGGATACTATCAGTACTACAGCACTGCTTTTCTGGTAGGGAAACTACTGACTTGTTCTGCCTCCATCTCGCAGATGCAGCACTCAGGAGAGTGCTCTGCCTCTAAGTAATGTATCCTTGCAAAGCCAGGGTTGTAAGATTTGTCAGAACCAGGGATTGATCAAGATTTTAAGTACTGCCATTTGAGCTTCTCCATTCATGATTAATTCACTGGGACAAATCTGTGATTTTTTGCATTTTTGCAATGCAACTTACTCAGCTTGCAGTCCCTCACTATGGAACATAGGAACACAGGAACTTCCAAGGCTGGGAGGTTTTGCAGCTGAATAGGTACTCTCTTTCTCTACAAAAAGGACCAATGGATTTGTCTAAAAAGCCCCTTACTGACAGGTTCTGCAGCACGTTGGGTATGTTCTAACTCTGCCAACTGCTGTGTAGATATGGTTAATGTGGTGTTGTATAGGCCAGCTTTTAGTCTCCAACTGTTCTTACATGGCTTTTTCAGTAGAGGTAGCTGCCCAATGGGCAGCAGGAAATTGTGGTCTGCCTGCATACCCACCTGCCAGAGGAGATCGGAATTTATTGAACTACTGTTTTCTCCCTGTTTGGATCAGTTCATCCAAAAAAGTAAATAAATTGCATTTTCTTTCTTTGTCCATCTAGAGCCGAGCAAGACGTTCTTAAAATGTGAGGCAAAGAACTACTCTGGAATTTTCACATGTTCATGGATGACAGAAAATGAGAGTCCAAGCATGAAGTTCACAATCAGGAGCCTGAAAGGGTAAAAGCTTGTACTTTCCTTAAACACTTCATAGTACAGCCAGAAGAGCCCTTGGTGTCTGTGTAGGAGATGCTGCACTGTGAGCTCTTGAGGGCGCACGGAAGGGGAGGAAACCTGCTTTCAGAATCTGAACATCTGCAAAATATTTTGAGCATTCGCTGGAATTGGTTTTAATAAAAGCATGGAAGTCACTCTGAAATTAATACTGATTTGAAAATGGAACAACCCCCACCAGACTGTTACAGCTGCTACACTTAAGCAATAGCAAAAGCAGCAGTTTGTGCAGGGAAGAGAGAGGAAGTTGAGCCAAAAGCAGAAACAATCTTAGCACTGAGTCTCATCAGATCCAGTGGAATTGAAGGAGTGGGAGGCTGCACCCACGACAAAAGCCACACGTCCATGGCCAAGTCTCTGTTGAGGAACACTGCAGAAACCTGCAAGGGAAATGTGTGAGGGGAACCTTGGGGGAATTTCCTACCTCCCACCACTCTTGAGGGTTTCTCCAAAACATGGAGTGCCTGGGCAAAGGTCATTTGAGTTTGTTAGAGAGGAAAAAACTGCAAAATGTTTTATTTTGTTGAATGTAAATGTAGACGCAGACTCTTGTCGTCTATTACAGGTTGCATCTTTTTGTTAGTTCCCAACTGAATGGTTTAACCATGCCTCACTTGTTCCAGCGAAGTTTTGGAAAGGACTGAGGAACAAAGTTAGATACCACAGCTTGGCATGGAGCAGAGGTGTTTAGAAATGAACTTATCCCATTTTATATTTAAACACAAATTTCTTCTTCAACAGAAGAAAACAGAAAGTTGGGATGGACTTTTGTAATTTTATTAATACATTATATAGTTACTAAGTATATAAGAACACACTGAATTATTTCTGCTGTTCCTTACGTGCAGACATAGCGTGATACACACAAGACCAAACATTATCTTACCAATTACGTGATATAATTATGGCAACAAAATTCTGAGAACAAACCAGTATTTTGTTTTTCTGTTGTATTTTCAGCTCTCAAGGAGATGTAACCTGCAGCAGCCCTGTGGATCACACTGAAAAATCTGTGACTGAATACACTGTCCAGTGCCAGAAGGAAAACTACTGTCCATTTGCCGAAGAGCACCAGCCAACTGAGATGTTCCTGGAGGTCATTGATGAGGTGGAATATGAGAACTACACTAGCAGCTTCTTCATCAGAGATATCAGTGAGTAGATCAGAAATCACCATTAGTTCTTAGCCTTATTCTCGCTGCAGGCAGTGGAACTAGCAATGGTAACTGACCAAACCAAGCTTGGGAATCCCTGCTCTGTTCTACTGTAAATCTGAATTCTGCCCCCAGTTACAGGAACAGGGGGAAACGAATCATAGCAGCAGTCTGGAAGAAGATGAGGAAGTGAAGAAGCAACATATCCATAGCTTGTGACCTCCAAGCCTCTCTCTCCCACATCTGCCAGAAGTTTCTGTAACCTTCTCTTTCACATAGATGTGTTTTGGAAGGGGCATGTGGGGGAAGTCAGAGAACAGCCAATAACCCAGCAGGCTATTCTTTGAGAACTGCAGATTTACTCAGATTATGGTTAAGGCCAGGAATGCCTCACTCCTGATCCATTCTTACAGATGGAGGAAAGCATGTTTTGCTAAGTGCCCTAGCAGTCAGCAGGAGGTGAAGATAACCATCTGTCTCTAACAAAGCCTCCTACAGCTCTCCAGGCAAAAAAAAAAAAAACCCTGAAGGATCTTACCCAGAGGGGCTGTGGCGATGTTGTTAATTTTCCATGAGAAGCATACAGTGCAGTTCTTATGCATCATGCCAACTCCTGTCGTAATTTAATAGAGGCTCCAGCAGCCGGTCATATAAAACTGCCAACAACAATACACCAACGTGATCTTATGCTGCTAATGCCTATTAATGCATTCTATATTTTCTCTTGTAGTAAAGCCAGACCCTCCTCAATGTCAGTATGCAAGCACAAATGGAACAGTGACCTGGACATATCCCAGGACCTGGAGCACACCAAAGTCCTACTTCCCTTTGACTTTCAGGGTCAAAGTTGAAAGCACAAAGAAATACAGAAGCAAGGTAGAAATGCAACATTTGATGTGTGATTTTCCTGTTTTAACAGACAGTATAAATAAAAGCTTAGAGCATATGAATCGTGGACTAGAATTAAAATTAAAATGCTGCTGAGCCTCAAACGTAGAAAGGTTCTGTTTTGGGAGACAATTACCTTCTCAGTTCTGTGAGCAGTAAGATTCAACCTAGGGTGGATGAAACCTGATGTAAGTTGGGAGATAAAATCACGTCCAGTATTGCATGGCCAATGCTAGCGTGACAAAGTATCGACTAACTCATTAGTACACTTTGTGGGTGCTAATGTGGGAAAATCCCAATTTCCAAATCCATAGGTCTAGGATCTGCTGCGGTGAGTTCTTGTATGTCATTTGAACCTGGCTAGCTCAGACTTTATATGTGAATTGTCAAATAAGGCATCAGTGACTCATTTAGTAGCATTTCGGTGGATACTAGTGAAGACTGAAATCTTTGCCTCTCATATTCCTGCTATTAGTTAATTGTCATCAATTGTTAAAGCTAATATTGCAAATCCATTTTAGCTTGAAATAATGAGATTATTTTGCTTCCGCTGTTAATGCTTGTGGGTACACTAAAGGGCACACAACAGCAGTAGAGTGATTTGTCTTGGTAGTCAAAGAAATCAGCAGCAAAAGTAGAAAGAAATACGTAGAGCAAGTGACCACAGTGCAGGTCCTTCACTGCTCTTCCATGGTCCAGAGTCAGAAAATTAACAAATGTGAACATTACAGTCTGAAATCCAGTTGAACCAAGGACACAAAAGGATATTTGTATGTGAAAAAAAATAAGCAAGCCTACACCAGCAGATGGGGCCATTGACCTAGTAATGATTCCTTGATATTAGCAGGGCTGTATTATGCAATCCCATAGAGAAACTGGCAGGTCTACAGAGCACTTCTTGTATTAGCCAAAAGTCTTCAGAGAAAATCAGCAACTTCTGCCTTTTAGGGTTCTCTGTTTGAGGAAAAAGAGGGAAGAAGAGAGAGAGAGCAAAGAAAAAAAGATAAAAAAAATGAGCCCTCTGTTTGAATGACAGTTGGAGCTTGGAGTTCAGATTGCTTTACATCATTAACTTCAATGGGAGTCATAGTTTGTTTCCACTGTGGCTAAGGTTCTTACAGCTGCTCATGACTTTGACATGGAACAACAGACTACCAGTGTTTCCTGCTGTTACATATGCTTGGTGCTGCCAGTCTGGCACTTTACTGCATGTTTACTTGACCCTTACTGATGGAGCTGTGCCCTATTCACAGGTTTATGATGCTGATGAGCAGTCTATTCAGATTCCAAAGGCTGGGCCAAAAGACAAGATCTCTGTGCAGGCCAGGGATCGCTATTACAACTCATCCTGGAGTGAGTGGTCTGCACTTTGCAGGTAAGACTCCAAGAGCCTTCTGCTGGTGGAGCAGAGGGCCAAAATTGGACAAGTGCCCAGCCCTCATTGGTTGGAGCCAAATTCCCAATCCCTGGCTGACTGGGGAACTTCTGAGCCTGGCATTGTTTGCCTCTGAGTCCTTTAGAGAGATCAGTGGTGCTTCATGAGATCACTAAGACCAGCACAGCTTTATTAAGAAACTGACTAAAAATGCAGGTCTGAAGAAAATGAAGATAATTCTTATGTAATTGCCTTCCATTTATTTTACAGATAAGCACCAGGAGATTGGTGTAATGCTCCTCAAGAAAGCAAAGGATTGATGAAGACAAGCAAATATGCTAATTAGAAGAAAAATCTGCATGTGAGATTATTAAGAAGCCACGCCTTACTCCTTTTTTTTCCATAGTAGAATAGTATGATCCTGATTCTGACAGATCTTTTACATTCCCCAGGTTTGAGTAACACCACTAGCACACATCATGTTATATTAACATGTATGGTACAGTGATACATTCCTGTCAGCTATTATCGTTGGTTCCATGTGCTTTTGTATTGCATTTATTTATTGATCTATTTATTACTTACTTGATATGAACTGCAATGTCAGTCGATGGCAGCTGCCAGTCAGGATGTTTCGTGTGTTAACTTATACAGAATGTAACTTATTGAAAGAACTATTTAATAATTATTTTATTGTTAAATTATGTAATTACATTCATATTTATTTATTTATTTATTTATTTGAAATATATCAGCACAGAAAGCCTTGGCTGCATGAGGCAGCTCTGTATCGTACATCCAGGCTTATCTTCCTCTTCCAGTCTGGCAGTTAATATTTTAGAAGAAGGAACTGCAGACTCAGAGTCCTGGAAATGTTAAGTGCTGCACATTTTCAGCTGATTGTGGTCAACACTGCACATCATAGGCAGCTGAAATTATTTAATAGTTCAACTGCTGTGTATCTGATATTTCAGAGAGCAATTGAGAACTGGTTTTATATGTGAATGTTAAGTGTGTAATTAAATTTAGAATTTTAGAATGTGGATTTTCATAGAACATTTTGAAGATACTTCTTTAGTACTGCCAGAAGTGCTATTGTGTCTTCACAGAACCTTAGGAAAAGAATAAAATCCTAATTCTGAACTGCTTACAGTGTAAGTGCCCAGGTCTGGAAAAAAAAGCACAAGCATGTGTTGAAGCCCCTGCCTTTGTTTTTGTTTTGTTTTTTTTGTCAGTCCACCTAAGTTGTGGCTTTCAGGAGGACAGAAGCCCTTTAAGGGCTTGGGCCTTTATCCTTGATACAAGATCATTGGAATTAAAAGAGTCCTCAGTTGTGACCATGCTTCCTTTTTCTTCCAGTTTTAGAAATGGGTGGTGATTTAAGTATTTAAACACTGAAACATAGGAAGTATCTGATATTTCAGAAAACCATTGCTAATCTAGCTACAAGCGTTGGTTGCTATTCTATTATTTAAGTATTGCTATTTATTTATTACATTACTACTTATTGCTATTGCATATGATTCTTATTTCTGCTGTAAACACAACTTCATGCCATGCTTGTTTTATAAAGGAGCTAATAAACACATCTGGAAAAACACTGATTTACCTGTGATCTTTAAAGATGAACAGTTAATATCACATTAATATTACCTTTCAAATGGAAAACTTTGTTCTACTTCTGAGGCAATGTCTGCAGAGAAGTGTTGTATCTTTTCCTATATGAATTGCCTAAAGGTACCAAATCAGTGTAGATTCGGTAGAAGTGTACAGGACAACACCAAAAGGTGATGTGTTAGCAGGCACTTCTGCAGGCTGACAAATGATTGCATCTTATGCAGACTGAGGGTACAATTGAAATTCCCTGTCCTCTGTGGTCAGAAGGCTTTTAACTGCAATCCAGCTGACATATATCTTGATGTCCTTGAGATTTCTCTCTAATACTGTTGCTACAGTGCTCAGAATTAGTGGGGCCTTCCTGTTCTTCAGACACCTGAAGCATTCTTGGTACCAATCACTGATGCCTCTTATTGACTTTGATTCGCTCTGGTTTTCGTTCAGACAAAAGAAAATATGAAAAGAAGAAAAAGAAAATAAGAAAAGAAATATGCCTTTCTGTGCCGTGATCTCGCCAGGTGAAAGAAGCTTCCCCTGCAGGAAGCATTCCTGGCATAGATCACAAGGTGACCTGGAGCCCGTAGTGAGGCAAACAATTGTCTAAGATTCTTCAGAAAACCAACAAAGCACAGCTTGGAACTGCCACTGCTTCTGCAGAAAGCCAGTTACGTGTATGCTGGCTGCTCTCTGAAACCAAGCTGGCTTCAGTTCTTGGCTATCCATTCCCTGGAACCTGCTGCACATCTCTGAATGCCTGCTCTAGGACTTCTCAGGCAGTCTCCCATCTCAGAGAAGCTCAGTGATTTGTGTTAAATGGTGTTAATATCACACTACCCATTTTCACTAGCATGGCTCTGTACACCGGAGATCATTTCCTAACACACTCCATCTGCTCAAGGAAATATCAGTTGATGTCAGTTCACCTTCATACTTCCCTTTCTTCATCCCTCATCCTCATTGAGATGCAAATAATCTCAAAAGCCTTCACTATACAATTCATTGGACTGTACAATGCACAGAACCACCCCCCAAAAACTTCTGACTGTTGCAGAAAAAATCCTGATGGAAATAAGTTCATTCCTGAGGATCCCATGGTCCGACAGGACCACACGATCAGCCCTCTGCGAGACCCTGCTTTCTTGATGACCTGCCTTTCTCTGGGGATGGGCAGCTCCTCCTGCTTTCTACTCGTGCTCATCATTCAACACGAGACTTTAGATTTTACCTACCACACCTCAATAAATTTGCACTGAACAGAGACTGACTAATTCCCTGCAGGGATTTTTGTGGGTGCTCCTCATCCTGAAGAATGTTTTACAAATAATTGGTGTACTTAATGAGGCACTAAGAGATTGCAGTAGGATCTTGCTATCCTCTATGTGCTTCGGTGATTAGGGGTGGGTAAGCAGGAGCATTTGCTGACATCAGAAGGAGAAACGACTTATATTTAATTAGGGGTTCTATGAGAAAATGCATGGGAAGATATCAGGTGCAAACGCTTCATTATACCCCTCCTTCCATGCTGACCTTCACCTTTTCTCTCTTTGTCAGTTGTATCTTCTATTTATGAAAAGTATGGTATTTTTAATGAAAGCAAAATCAATCTGTGTCCTCTCTCTCAACACTGCTGGAAGAAACTTTCACTCAAGTATTTCAGATTAAATTTCTGTCACATCAAAGTCAATTGAAGTGCAAAACATCTGGAAATTGCATCTTAAAATTCAGAACAAAAGGCAATATAATGTATAGTAAAGGCAGAAGGCATAAAGAAAAACAATAATGATCAGCTCTTTGCAAACTCTCGGTTTGTTAGATTTTATTTTTATTTTTATTTTTTGCTTTCTGAAAAGATATATGTAATGTTCAGCTGGGATCTGTCCCAGCTTGATGACTGCAATTTTGCAGAAGGAATCATTTGTTATTTGTTAAGGTGTGGAAAATGGGAAACTCACTTTCCTTCAGGCAAATACCCAAGTGTTTTGGCACAGTTTAATGCTGTTACATCACTTGATTTTCATGCCTTCGATTGAGCAAGAATTTAATATCTTAATTGATTGCACATGGGCGGACAACCCTAACCACCCCCACACGAAAAAACTGGAGGAGTTTGTGAACTAGGTTATGTATAAACATGCAGTGCAATCACTAAGTCAGAATCCTCGCTCTTGACAATTTCAGTATCTACCCCAGCTTGTACATTCTTCCCAGATGTACGTGGCTGCGTGAGTCCCTTTTTAGCTATTCCATGCATCATTGTTTTCAGTGCTGTTGATGTCAACCGGAGTAAGGCACTCCATCATATGAATGAGCATAAGCTACTGTACATCAATGCCTTCTGGAATGCAGCCAGATAACATCCTCCCATGCAAAATAAAGCAGGCACTTAACTAATGACCTGCTGCAGCAGCATAGCTGGCATCACCTTTTGGCTCCATTTGAAGCTCTGAAAACAAAAGCAATATTTGAGTGACTGGGACACTTTATCACTCGCAGAAAAGCATGCACTAGATGTTTTGTCTTTATCAGATATAACAGGTCAATTAAAGCAAGTAAACATTTACTCAGTAAGTAATCACTTTTTGTTCTTCAAAATAACAGCTTGGAGAGGTGAGAGGTTGGGAGAAGACACGATACAGCCATAAAAGTAGAAAACTACCAGGGGCCCCTAGTAATATGCATATATTTAAAGCAGTAATTCCTAGTCGGAGTTTCCTAATCATCCTTCTCTAGGAAGCAGAAATAACCAAATAGATCTGAAGTTGTGTTTTTCAGCCAATAAAATTCTGTTTCTCAGGTATCTAAAATCAATCCAACTTGCTACTCTATTTCGTGTCTGTTTTGTCGTGTCAAGAAATGCTACCTCATTAGGACAAATAGAAGCAGCTGACTGCCAGCAACAGCTCAAATTCACCTTCAAGAATCACAGAGCCAACTTAGGTTGGAATGGAACACTGGAGATCACCTGGTTCTACACATCTCTGCCCTACCACCAAACCATGGCCACCTCAGAACAGATCAGGTCTCCATAATCTCTTTGGACAATCTATTCCAATGTTTGACTGCTCTCATTACGAAATTTGTTTTCTTCACATCTAATTGGAATTTCTCTTGCCGCAATTTGCAGTATTCTCTCTCTTCCTTTCATTGTGTGCCTCCAAGATGAGTTGGTCTTCTTTGTACCCCAACCCTGCAGAACAGCTGAAGACAACAGGATTCACCTTCTCACCTTTGCTAGAATTGCCCCAGTATTCCAGTGTCTTTTGTGTGCTGGAGAACCCAGACCTGCACACAGTCCTCCACATGCAGCCTTACAAGTGCTTGACAGGGAAAAATAATGATTTATTTTGATGTGACAAGGGCATCATTAGCAATACAGCCCAGTATGTG